AGATTTAATTTTTGCTGCAAATAAATGGGCATCATGCCAAAAGGTGTCCCTCAAATCTACGGTGACAGGTGATCCGATAAGTTATAGCCTGTGTGTACTGTCAAGCACTGTACGTCAAATTCTACCATCTGAGTGCCTTCTCTACAAACCGGGGAAAAAGGTCGGCAAGGATAAAACAACAACAGCTGAACAAAGCTATAAAGCAAATAATCGTGTTCACAAAAGTGGATTTTTTTTACCACTATTCTAGGTAATTATTCACAAAACCAATTACAATAATTGGCCAACGCACGGGCTGCCCGTGCGAAGATGCGTTTTTCGCATAGTTCCCCGCAGTTTTTGTCGCCACCAGCACCGATTTTTCAGGCAAATGCTTCCAGCTAAACAAATTAAGACTGGCAGCCAGAACCGTCAGGAAACACTCTCTTAAAATTTCAGCTTTCTAGCTTTCTTGGCTCCTGAGTTAGCAACTTACCCGAAAAAAACTTTCACGGACCCGTACGTGAGTACCACGCACAACCAGTGTCTGAGTTTGAGCTCATTAATACCCACTTGGATAGGGAACATCTCCTTAAAATTTCAGTCCCCCAACTTCTCAGGTTCCCGAGTTAGCAACTTACCCGAAAAAGAATTCCACGGCTCCACACGTGGGTATCACGCAAACCCGAGAGTTGGTTTTGAGCTCATTAATACCTGCGTGGACGAGGAACGTCCCCTTAATATTTCAGCTTTCCAGCGTTTCTGGTTCTCGAGCAGCTTGCCCGTAAAAAACTTTGGCAGGTCCGTACGTGGATACCACGTGGGAACGACCGTCCATTTTGGGGATGTAAGCCCATACATGCATGTAGATTAAGTTCTCAAAGTTTCAGCCCAGTAGCTTTCGTAAGTCTCGAGATGAAAAATCGGTACAGACGCGTAGTGCACACACAGATACACAAACACACAGACAACCTCTCGTCACTATGCATTTTCTGCATTGTATAACTGTAAAAAAAACTACCTGGAAAACAGATTAACCACCAGAAGCAGCTGTTTCTCCAGTACCACGCCCTGTCGATGGCTCCGTATAGCACGAACAAGATCCAAAAGTGGTAACACATGTTCCACAAAATACGACCTCTGCAAGCCAATAAGTTAAAAAATTTACTCCAAAGACTGTATCGCGACCTTAAAAGTTTGTAGGTTAGACTAGTGTGCGTGTCCCACTTGTGTGTGTGTGTGTATGTGTGTGTGTGCGTGTGTGTGTGTGTGTGTGTGTGTGGTGGAGTGTGTGAATGTAGAAACACCAAATTGTGGATTTATATATATTTATAATTAGAGACAGCAATCTAAGGGCCCACAAAGAAAACCTCAACAGAAGAGGAGAGTAAAAAAGGGTGGTGGGGCTCTGGGGACCCGAAGTTCTCCAAAAAATGGTTGAGTGGCGAAAACAGCAAGCAACTCTGGATCCGGAGATGGGAAGGAGTGCTTTTATACCCCGACAGTCACAGATCACAAAGACTGCATAAGTCTAACGAGGGTAAGGTGTCCAAAGATTGAACCGGCGACCATGGGTGCTGCGTCACGGTGATGCAATGACTCCTTACGCAATTTTTGACAAAAAGCAATAAATCATTATGTGAAATGTTATGCGACAACTTTTAATATGACATCACATTTCGGCACCTTTCGTAGAACTCCTAAACTACCGTCTCCTTAAAAAAGCCTGTAAGAATCAGTGCGGCATACCCAGATCAGTGACGAATTCTCAGCACCTAAAAAACTTTTCAAAACAAAAAAAAACCATACTTTTTGCTGATATTCCTCCAATATTTGTTTGAATTCTGGATTAACTTTCAAAAAATACTGTAGTTGCTCTTGCTCGGTCATTTTACTTATATCAGGCAACTCGCTGAGGTTACAAACAGTATCTTCCTCCGGGGCCACCACATCATCCTAAACATATATTTGATAGAAAAGTATTCGACATCAACTGGCTATTTAAAGGATAAACCTACAAATAAACCTAAATTAAAAGGAAAACCTAATATTTCATAGTTTTTATGTAACATTCCTCCACTTCATAAAATTAGTCACTTCTATACACATTTTCCATATCCTCTCCTTATCTTTCTCTAATTTTTTACTTTTTCTTCTTATTTTAGCTCCATTTCTCAACAAACAACTTCTCCAGCTAGAAAGCTGAAACTTTAGGGTAATGTTTCCTACTCATGTACGAGCAAAGTCAGGTGTTTGGAAGCGCCCGGGGCCCACGTACGAGCGCGTGGAAATTTTGGCGCGAAAATTACTAACCCCGGAGCGGGAAAAGCTAGAAAGCTGAAACTTTCGGCGATTGTTTCCTATTCATGTACGAGCAAAATCAGATGTTTAGAAGCGCCCGGGCCCACGTATGGGTATGTGAGGTTTCTGTCCGTCGCCATTTTCCATTTTGCTGGAAGGGCCCACATTCCTTAGCTTCCAAGGGTGATACCAAACCTCCTTACCTAAAGACCCTTTTTATCACTCTTTGTCTGGCTTCGTCTGATTTCCGGTCTTGGTGCCGTCATCGTCTTTCGTTTCGTCATCGACCCGGACCTTCGCTCTTGCGCAGAGTCTTCATTCTAATCCTATCCGAGGTACACGTAATACTTCCCTATTCGACCAACGCAGTCTTATCACCGTACTGATGATTCCCATCCCATTCCGCACCGGCTCTGCCGTTTGTGTTTACAGTTTAGGGATGAAACACAGACAGGGCAATAGCTTAATGCACATACAAGCTCGCTTATCTGGGTATCTGAATTGGCACTTCCTTCTTTCCCACAGCTGTCAATATTCGGCTGTGTCTCTCTCATCGACGGGCCCATAATGCCAAACAAATTGTGAATGTTAACAAATAGAAGACTCCAGGCTCCCAATTCTTTCAATCCCCTAGCCAGTGATTTTCATAATTTGCATCTTAAAAATTTTTAAAACATTTATCTCTCTCCTCTGATTCCATGGCTGGTCTTCTTAAAAAAAGTCGCACGTAAGTGATTCATAAAGTTAGTTATTTTATTCAGTCGTCGCATTCACAACACACACACATACGCACACATACACGCACGTGCATATACACATGTACATACATACATGCACACATACATACGCGCATACACACACACGCGCAGACAAACACACACACACGCAGACACACACACACAACTCGGTGCACCGCACTTTTACTTACTTGAAATTCCATGGGGAGGTGGCTTAGCGTAGCATCCAGTTTCTTCTGCCTCGCAATTGCATCCTCCTCTTCCAGTTCCGCTAATTCAGCTTCATTTTCATTCATACCA